AAAAAACCTGGAAGAACAGAAAGAGGTAAACATTTGGGTAAATCTGGTAAATACTGACTGTTTCAAACAACAATAACAATTCCTTATGGTGGCTTGGCACCTGTGGCTCAAATGGCTAAGGTGCCAGCCACATACACCTAAGGTGACGGGTTCAAATCCAACCCGGGCCTGCCAAACAACAATGATGGCTACAACCAGAAAAATAGCCGGGTGTTGTGGCGGGCACCTGTGGTTCCAGCTACTTGGGAGATTGCTACTCAGGGGGACAGCTTGAGGCTCTGTCTCAAAAAAACAAAAACAAAAACAAAAACAATTCCTTATGGATCTTGAAACTAAAAGAATATTAAAATAACAATAGAATTTAAGTTGGGACTGGAGTAAATAAAAGTTTTCTAGGGTCTTTGTATTATTCAGGGAGAGGGTGAAAATGTTGATTAATTTTAGGCTTTGATAATTTAAGTGTGGGTGTCATAATTAAGAGTGTGCCTCAGACTGGATTCTTTCAGAAGAAATGGCTGAGACAGGGTTCACTTGCAAATTGTTTGGAGGTACAGGAAATACAGGTGGGAAAGTTAGGCAGGGAGGGGAAGAAGTGTCATCCAGCTAGCTGCCTGGTTATTATCATCTAACTTGTGGTCTAGATTGTCCCTAGAACCTAGGTATTAAGCTAGAGTTCTAGGATGTGAAGTTTGTGGATATAAGAGGCCCAATAAATCTCTACTTAGGGTTTCCTACAAACTACCAGGAACTCTCCACAGAGTTTCTGGGCAGAACACTATCACACCAACTTTAGTACATATCTGGAAGGCATTGGGGAAACTTGAGAAGCCATATTCACCAGACGTTCTCCAACTTGATATCTCCTAGAATGCTTTGCTGGGGCTGTTCCCTTTGCCTTTATCACAACAAACAGAAAGTTCTCTGGGATTTATATGTTAGAGAGGTAATATTTGTTAAGCTTCCAATGCAGTCTTCTTAGGGGCTATAGCGCTGCTCCAATGTGAAGAATTGAGTGAGAACACAGAATCCTGTTCTCTATTTAATTATTATAAAACTGGCTCTGTGCCTGCAGCTCAAGTGGCTAAGGCGCTAGCAACATACATCTGAACTGGCAGGTTCAAATCCAGCCCAGGTCCGCCAAAGAACAATAATGGCTGCAACTAAAAAAAAAAAAAAAAAATAGCCGGGCGTTGTGGCAGGCGCCTGTGGTCCCAGCTACTTGGGAGGTGGAGCAGGAGACTCGCTTGAGCCCAGGAGTTGGAGGTTGCTGTGAGCTGTGATGCCATAGCACTCTACCCAGGGGGACAGGTGCCCGTAGTCCTAGCTACTTGGGAGGCGGAGGCAGGAGAATCACTTGAGCCCTGGAGTTGGAGGTTGCTGTGAGCTGTGATGCCACAGCACTCTACCCAGGGTGACAGCTTGAGGCTATGTCTCAAAAAAAATTATTATTATAAAACTGTCTTTGGGCATGTACTTTATATGGAGTCTAGTAAGGCATTCAGATTTCAGAGGTTTTTAAAAATTTCCTGAAGGGACCAATTCTTCTGCCTTGATTCATTGTCACAATAATCTGCACTGGTAGAAATCTATTCTGAAATGTATAATTATGTGTGAGATTTCTTTCTTAAACCAGAAGGATGTTTTTTACTGTCCTTTCCATTAAGGCATAACAATATTGTAAACCCCATGACTTTGAATTCTCTATATAAACAGAGATGAGAATATATCCTTTATTTTAATACTGTGTTTCCCTGAAAATAAGACACTGTCTTATATTAATTTTTTCTCAAGAAGACACACTAGGGCTTATTTTCAGGGGATGTCTTCCTCTCCACGAAATGCATGCCCATCACTAGGTCTCATCAGGGTAGGGCTTATATTTAACAAATGCATAGAAATCCTGCTAGGGCGTATTTTTTGGGTAGGTCTTATTTTCGGGGAAACACGGTAGTAGATTATGCTTGTTTGTGGATGGAAGTGATCCAGAAGAGTTGATGCTACAAGAGAGAATTAATTTCACAAGAGGGCAGTGAGAAAAGTGGAAAGATGGATAGACTCGAGATCTGTGTAGTTTTCATAACATAGCCCCTCAAGTCTATGACACTTCTTCTCCCATTGAGAGCTGGGGTCTGTGACCCCTCTCTTGATTCTGAATAGGTTTGTGACCACTTTGGCCAATGGATGTGACAGCACTGATGTCATGTGACTTCCAAGGGTAGGTCAGGAAAGGCCATGTGGCTCCAAGAACAGTGTTGTGCTGGGAGCTACCATATAAGAAGTTTGACTATTCTGAAGCCACCATGGTAGAGAGGCCAGTAGATGTACTGGTGACAATCTCAGCTAACATTCTACTAACCTTGTGAATGAGCCACCTTGGACACCCAGCCCACTTCACTTCTGACTGTAACCAAACCCCAAGGGAGACCCAGGCAAGAACTTACCATCAGAGTCTTTAGGAACATAAACTTTTCAGGAAAGAGATTCTATCTTTTCACTAATACATCCCTGAGCTGGATAGAGCATTCCTGAGGGATTAGAAGGAGATGGACCCCAGCATGAGGGGCAAGTAAAGAAACAAATCTGGAGTGATCATGGATAAGTTTCCAGGGACTGTGCCTGAGACTTAACACATGTCATATGGTCCTCATGGTATTATTGTACAGATGAAGAAACTGAGTAATTGGCCCACATCCAGAAAGTTAGTGGCAAGATAAGACTGGAACCAGTCTTTCAGACTCTGAGGCTGGTGATCTTCCTTCTGTGCTCTGGGGGTAAGATGGAAAGTTCCACAGATAAAATTGGAGGTGAAAGCCCCTGTCTCATGTCTTGGAATCTGAGGATGACCGTCTGATAAAAAGGGAGGAAAATAGGGGAGAGGCTTGAGGAGGGCTGTGGAAGTAAATATCTGAGATGGGATTAAAGAACATAATACTGGGTGGTGCCTGTGGCTCAAAGGAGTAGGGCCCTGGCCCCATATACTGGAGGTGGCAGGTCCAAACCTGGCCCTGGCCAAAAACCTGCAAAACAAAAACAAAAACAAAACACAACACTGCAAGTTTTGTGCAATTCCAGATGAAATATAGACCCTGGGGGAGAAGTCAGTGATCAGAAGTCCAGAAGCTGGCTGACCAGGGTGTTGAATGGGTCATTTATGTGGATGTTCAATCCAGGATCAAAAAGAAATCTAGAAAAGGTGGTGCCTGTGGCTCAAGGAGTAGGGTGCCGGCTCCATATACTGGGTGTGGTGGGTTCAAGCCCAACCCCCACAAAAAAAAAAAAAAAAGAAATCTAGAAAGTTGGGGTCAAAACCCTTTGTGAATGCTGGGACAAGAGCTGGAATTTTAGGCTGGGTGTGGTGGCTCACACCTATAATCCCAGCACTCTGGGAGGCCACGGTGAGCAGATCACCTAAGCTCAGGAGTTTGAGACCAGCCTAAGTTAAAGCAAGACTCTGTCTCTAAAAAATAAAAATAAAAAAATAGCCCAGTGTTGTGGCAGGCACCTGTAGTCCCAGCTACTTGAGAGGCTGAGGCAAGAGGATCACTTGAGCTCAAGAGTTTGAGGTTGCTTTGAGCTGTGATGCCATGCCATTCTACCAAGGGCAACAAAGGGAAACTGTCTCAAGAAAAAAAAAAAAAAGATCTGCAGTTTTATGGGGAAAATCAGCAAGAGGTTGATATGTCCAGATTTGTTGAACCTCAGAAATAGGGAATGTTCTTAGTGCTTCTGAAATTGTAAAGACAGTATGATGCTGAAGACCTGATGCCCCAGACCTGCTTAGAACCTACATGACATGTGTCATTCATTCACATATTTGCTGTGCTAGCCCCTGTGCTTGGAGTTTCAGAGGGGAGAGATTCAAAACAGAAAAGATGAGAGCCTCTTTGCTCTCCAGCAGCTCTGTCATCCAGGAGGAAAACATAAACCAAAAAAGTCCATTCTTAGAAAAATCCTATATAAATATAAATTGTGATTGGGGCACAGAAGAGGACAAGATCAGTTAGCCCCTGGCCACAAGTCTTCTCTCTCAGTGATTGACACCCAAAGAATGAGGCTGTCCTTCCTGGCTCACATAAGCCCCTCTGTCCCATAGTTTCCAGGCAGCAAATTCCTCGTCTTTTCCTCAGAAATAATTTTCTGCAGAATATAGACATAAAAAAATTTCAGGACACATTTTTTTCCATCATGAGGGAAAAAGGGATAATTTCATTGCATTTATGTTGAAACTCCCGCCTCCTCCTTTTACCAAATCTCCACAGTCTTCCCGGTTCTGCCCTGTTGACTTGTGCTGTCAACCCTACCCCAAATCCTCCTCCCCCCACTCCTTGAGCTCAGTTTCAACCATCGCTCTCCCACAGATCTACACAGCACGCCAGAGCATGGTGGTGCCCTACAGGGCCCCCAGCAACATAGCTGGCTCTCAAGAAACAGTTTTTCCAGTTGAATGAATGCAGCTCTCCCATGTCCATCAATATTCTGTCCAGTCCCTGAAGCTTCTCCTGTGTACTGAGCATTCAGTCTTAGCTCTAATCAGCATCCTCTTTATGGTCCGCTCTGAGTCTCTACCTGATCAGCATCCCATGAGTAGATGTCCCTGTCCAGCCCTAGTGAGCACCGTCGGGGAAAGAACCGTTGCAGCCCAGTCAGCATGCTTTAGGGGTCACTCTCAGTCAGCTGGTCAGCACCCTTTGGGGGACAGCTCCCCTGGCTTCGATCAGCACCCGAAGGTGGACAGCTCCTCCGGCTCGTGAGGGTCAGCCTCCACCCGACCTCCCTCGGAGACAGAACCCTGGGGCCTCCTCGCTCCCGAGAAAGCCCGCCGTTGGCCAGGATTCCCCGCAGGCTCCGCATCCCTCCAGTCCTGAAGACTTGCGGCGCCCATCCTGGTGCCCCGCACCGACAGGCCCCTCCCCGCTTAGCCCCCTCCCCGCCCACCCGCATCCCCACCGCCCCGCCCTCCCCGCGGCACCTCCTCCCTGCGCCCTGCGGCTCCGCTGCGCGGCGTCCTGGCCGGCGTCGAGGTGTGTCGCGGGCGGGGTGTCGCAGGGCGTGTCACGAGGTGAGGCGGGGGCTGTCAGGGAGGGAGCGCGGAGGGCGAGCGGCGACCCGGCGCACCCCTCCCCCGCCGCGGTCGCAGGCCCTTCCCGGAGAAGATGGCGGATCGCGCGGAGATGTTTTCTCTTTCCACCTTCCACTCGCTGTCGCCTCCGGGCTGCAGGTACGCACCTCGGCGTCCCGGTCGTCGTCGCTCCCTCACCTTCCTGCAGCCTCTCTCTGGCCCAGCCCCTGACTCCTCCGACCTCTCTGCCATCTCACCCCCACCGTCCTTGCGGACCGAGGCCCCAGGCCCCTCTCTGGCCCTGAAGCTCTGACTCCTGCTCCCCACCCCCACCCTGGGCTCCGTATCTCGTCCAGCCGGAGTAACCCCTCTCTCATTGCCCGCTGGGACACGGAGCGGCACCTAGACTGGGCAGAATGGTGGGCGCACCCTTTGAGCCTGGCAGTGTCCTTTTGGCCTTGGGTTTCTCTTCAGTAGAGGCCCTAACCTGGCCAGTAGGGACCGTGCAGGGAGAGAGTAGAAATCGACTCTGGAGCGGTAGGTGAAAAGGACTGGGCCTGGGAGGGGCTGGGCCTCTGGGTTATAGGACTGCCTTGAGCCGGAGAGGGGGAGGCAAACAGGCTGGACACTGCTCCCAAAGGAGGATCGACCCCTCCCTGTCCTGTTGCTGCTGCCGCCGCTGCTGCAGCTCCCCTCCCCCTGCTCTGCTCTGGATGACTCCCCTGAGGCCTAGCTGTGACGGGGAGGGGCCTGGGGCAGCACGTAGGGAGGAAGGGTGGGAGAGGGATTGGGGGAGGGCTAGTCTGTATCAGATGGGGGAAGAGATCCAAAGCAGAGCAGAGCTTGGGGGTCAAGGTGACAGTGGGAATTGGAGTTTCCGGAGAACATGGTGCCTGGGAGCTGGAGGTCTCCCTTGGCCCCTCCTCAGGACCAGCTCCTGGGCAGGGGCTCCAGTGTTGGTGGCTCTCTGACTTCAGCCTCCTCTCCAGGCCTCCCCAGGACATAAGCCTGGAAGAATTTGATGATGAAGACCTGTCTGAGATCACTGATGACTGTGGCCTGGGCCTCAGCTACGACTCAGACCACTGCGAGAAGGTGGGGAAGAAGTTGGGTGCACAGAACCAGCTCAAAGGAGGGTCTCACTTAGGCTCTGCTTATCATTCCCTTGGAGTTTTAGGGTGTTATGAGCCCTGATCTTCTCCCCTTTAGCCTCTTAGCCTTGGGGTTTCCTTGGTATCCAACTTCTCTCATTCTCATTGTCAGTCCTCCCCTGCCTATCAGCAAGCTAGCCTGGGGGAGGGGAGTTGTGTCTTTGCTTTGGATGCCCTCTGTCCTCTGTCCTCAGATTACTTCCCACAAAGATCTATTCTCTTCTAGCTATCATCTTAGCAGGGCCTCTCCTAGCCCTGTGTCCATACCTGCAGCTTCCATCTATCTATCACATGTCTCCACCCTGGAAATCTTTTCCCCTTTACCTCCTGCTTATTCCCCTGCTCCATATTTCTGTTTTCATGCATTCAAGAACATTTCTGAGCAACTGCCATGTGGCAGGTTCAGGGGGCTTCCAGGTGCCAGGAGTGGAACAGGACAGCTGCCTTTAGGAGCTTGCAACCCAATAAGGGCGAAAAACATGTAAGAGACAGTGGCTGCCCAAGTGTCAAGGGTTGGATTCCAACAGGGATACAAGGTTGATGAGGGAGAGGGGAACCCAATTCAGACTGAGAGAAAGAGGGAGTCTTTCCAGAGGAAATGTCAACCATGCATGAAGTTAGCAGGAGCCAGGCTGGTGGAGTAGGTAGGAGTAACTGGAGGTGAGGAATTGCCAGCAAAGGGATTACATGGCCAAAGGCTCTGGGGTTGATGCAAGCTTGGTGAGTCCTCGGATGTAGGCTGTCTCTTCATTTCTGTGTCCATTTGATATTTAACATCTACTGAGCCCTATGTCTAGTTTTTTGAGATGAGTTGCATCAGTGTACAATATGGACATGACCCTGCCCTGGTAGGGCTTGCAGTCTAGTGGGAGAGACAGACCAAAAGCCATGTGCAGTAACTGTTAATTGTGTTAAAATGCTGAAATGAAGGAAATGGAGTACTTGTGTGGAATATGATGGGTTGGAAGAAGAGATGAGGCCACTCTGAGAATCTGTCACTTGGCCTTAGGAGTTTGCACCCTTCCCAAGAACTGAAGTGATTTCATATATATATATATATATATATATTTTTTTTTTTTTTTTTTTTTTTTTTTTTGGCCAGGGCTGAGTTTGAACCCATCACCCTCAGCATATGGGGCCGGCTCCCTCCTCCTTGAGCCACAGTTGCTGCCCAGAACTGAAGTGATTTCTATGTGTTTTATACAGAGTTCCAAAAATGTCATTCTGTTGATAGGGGCACAGTGAACTGGAAGGAACTCTCCAGTGACTTGCCCCTACCTGCTTTCCCCTTTCTTAGCACTGGGTTGGAGCTGGGTCACTGTCACACTCTGGCCCAGCCCTGCCATCTCCATCCATCCGTCTTTCCCTCCTGCAGGACAGCCTCTCCCTGGGGCGCTCCGAGCAGCCGCACCCCATCTGCTCCTTCCAGGATGACTTCCAGGAGTTTGAGATGATCGATGACAATGAAGAGGAGGAGGAGGAAGATGATGAGGAAGAAGAAGAGGATGAGGATGAGGATGAGGGGGAGAGCAAGGAGGGAGGAGGCCCTGGCTCAGAAGTACCTGCCTCAGAACACCTTATTCCCTCTCCTTCCTTGGAGGAGCCCCACAAACACCGGCCCACTACACTCCACCTGACTACACTCGGTGCCCAGGTAAGCATACTGACCCTCATCTTCCTAGAGCTAAGCCTGGGTCACAGTACCTGGATTCTATACCCTGTAGCAGCTGGTCCCTGTCAGCCATGGGAGCTGAAGGCCCCTAAGACTGTTGTCTGGTCCCTCCACCCCAGGACTCCCTGAACAACAATGGGGGCTTTGCCCCAGTGCCCCCAGCCTCCTGGAAGGAGACAGCACTGTGTTCACCACCCCAGGAGTCCCTCAGAGGTGAGGGGTAGGAAGGAGGGGGGAATGGGCTGCTTCTGGAAGGTCTGGCTCATGGTGATCTTGATGGTGACAAGTTTCCACTGCCCAGCAGAGCTCTCTGGTTCCCCCCTGCCCATGGAAGCAGGGCCTGGTGAGGCGCAGTCATCAGTGAGCCCAGGTTGTGACTGCGAAGGGAACCGACCTGTGGAGCCCCTGGCGCCAGGTGAAGCCTCGCCCTCCTCAGATCCCGGCATTGAGGCCGACCTTAGGAGCCGCTCGAGTGGTAGCCGCGGGGGACGTCGCAGCAGCCAGGAGCTGTCGTCCCCGGGCTCAGATTCGGAGGACGCCGGCGGAGCGCGCCTTGGGCGGATGATATCGTCCATCTCAGAGACGGAGCTGGAGCTGAGCAGCGATGGCGGCAGCAGCAGTGGCCGCTCCTCGCACCTCACCAACTCCATTGAGGAGGCCTCATCGCCTGCCTCAGAGCCGGAGCCCGAGCCCCGGCAGGAACCCCTGCGCCGCCCCGCCTTCCTGCCGGTGGGCCCGGACGACACCAACAGCGAGTACGAGTCTGGGTCAGAGTCGGAGCCAGACCTCAGCGAGGACGCAGACTCACCCTGGCTGCTCAGCAACCTGGTGAGCCGCATGATCTCCGAGGGCTCCTCGCCCATCAGCTGCCCCGGCCAGTGCCTGTCTCCGGCACCGCGCCCGTCTGGGGAGCCCGTGCCGCCTGCCAGCGGTGCCACTGAGGACACCGGGGACCCGGCAGTGACAGTGGCGCCTGGGGGTGTGGAGTTGGTGGACATAGAGACGTTGTGCGGGCCTCCGCCCCCTGCGCCCGCAGCGTCTCAATCTGGCTCCGGGCAGCCGGGCCCTTGCCTCTTCCTCAGCAACCCCACGTGTGATACCATCACGCCACTGTGGGCTTCGCCTGGCCGCGCTACCCGGCCAGGCCGAGCCTGCTTTGCGGCCTGCTCTGAAGAGGAGGACGACGAGGATGAGGAGGATGAGGACGATGCTGAGGACAGCACAGAGCCCCCGGGCGGCAGGGGCCCGGGCCCTGCAGCTCCGCTGGACGCCTCACTGGTGTACGATGCAGTCAAGTACACGCTGGTGGTGGACGAACATACGCAGCTGGAGCTGGTGAGCCTGCGGCGCTGCGCTGGCCTGGGCAGCGACAGTGAAGAGGACAGCTACGGGGAGGCCAGCGAGGAAGAGGCAGGCGCTGTGCTGCTGGATGGTGGTCAGGGCCCTGGGGACACTTCTCCAGAAAGCCCTGACCTCACCTTCTCCAAAAAGTTCCTCAATGTTTTTGTTAACAGCACATCTCGATCCTCCAGTGAGTGAGAGGCTGGGAATGGAGGTGGCCCTAGAGGAACAGTGAGACTCTAGGGCCCAGGGTCCCTTTTTGTCCTAGGGTAGCTTGAGGGCATGGGAGTGGTCAGTGCTGGGCACTGTCTTCTCCCTAGGACATGGTCCTCAAGTACCCTCCAGAACGCCCTTGGAGTAGGGAGTGGGTTGGGCAGGCTGGCTCTGTCCTAGTACTACATGAAGGGGTTCAACTTGTTTCCCTGACGAAGGACACCCATACCAGACTGCTGAGGGGAGGGAACTTGGCTCTAGCCAAGGCTAGACCTTCAAGTACTTTCCTTGCCCTACTTGAAGTCACTATCTCTCTCTTAGGCACTGAGTCCTTTGGCCTTTTTTCCTGTGTGGTCAACGGGGAGGAGCGAGAACAGACTCACCGGGCTGTCTTCAGGTACAACCTCCTTCCTTGCTGGTGGTAATCTCTACCCTCAGTCCACAGGTGTTATGGAACACTGGTGGACATGACCCAGCCAGTCTTGCCCCTCCCCCAGTAGCCTCTCCCTTGACATCAGGTTCATCCCTCGACACCCGGATGAGTTAGAGTTGGATGTGGACGATCCTGTGCTGGTGGAGGCTGAGGAGGATGATTTCTGGTTCCGTGGCTTCAACATGCGCACAGGGGAGCGTGGTGTATTCCCTGCCTTCTATGCCCATGCAGTGCCTGGCCCTACCAAGGACCTGCTGGGTGAGGCCCATCACCAGGGGCAGGGAAAGGGGCAGCAGGTCACCCCAGACCCTCCCCACTGTGGCCTGACCTGGGCCCTGTGTGCCCCCAGGGAGCAAGCGAAGTCCCTGCTGGGTGGAGCGCTTCGACGTGCAGTTCCTGGGCTCTGTGGAGGTGCCTTGTCACCAGGGCAATGGTATTCTGTGTGCAGCCATGCAGAAGGTCAGTGTGGAGGTGGGATGGGCATAGGCATAGGGCCTGGGTGGCCACCCACACCATCACCACAGGCTGGCACAGTTCCCAAAGCTCCTCCAGGGAATAGCAGCTCCGGGGTGGGCAACTTTGGCCCTGAGTCAAGGCAGAGCTCAGCAGCTGTCCCCATCACCTTTGGGTCTCTTGGTGAGTTCAGTGGGCCTCTGCCTTCCCTCTGACCCCTCCTCCCCTTCAGCTTATCCTCCTCCTGCCTGAAAACTGAGACCAGCTCTCATAGCCCCTTCCCTGGCAGTCATCTGCTCCCTCGTTCATTTACTCAGCAGATATTTAGTGAGCACCTGCCCATTTGGCAGGCTGTGATTGAGGCTGGGGGCGCAGCAGGGAGCAGGAAAAACCAGCCTTGCATCCTGGAGCCCCCCATCGAGCTTACAGGGATCAGGCAGTGGGAAGACCAAGGTGGGTTGGGACTGTGCTCCTGGTACCTGAGTCAAGAGGAGCAGCCTAGCTGACAAATGGAAGGAAAATGAGGCAGGCTGAGTGCAGAGAGGTGACCAGCTCATCCTAAAACTGAGAAATAGGGCCTCTCATATCTTTCAGAATTGCATCTCACGAGTATTTTTTTTTTTTTTTTGAGACAGAGTCTCATGTTGTCACTCTTGGTAGAATGCCATAGCATCATAGCTCATAGCAATCTCAAACTCCTGGGCTTAAGTGATTCTCTTGTCTCAGCTTCCCAAGTAGCTGGGACTACAGGCCACAATGCCTGGCTATTTTTAGACATGAGGTCTCACTCTGGCTCAGGCTGGTGTCAAACCTGTGAGCTCAGGCAATCCACCTGCTTTGGCCTCCCAAGTGCTGGGATTACAGGCATGAGCCACCTTGCCCAGCCTGCATCTCACGAGTCTTCAATGCCAAGTTTCTTTAAACATAATCTAAAAAGAACAAAAGTTAAAGTTCTACCAAAGGAAGAGAAAGAGGCCCTTGTAGGTGTCTCAAGACCCTCTTCTCCCTTAACTTCTTCCTCAGATTGCCACTGCCCGGAAACTGACTGTCCACCTGCGTCCTCCTGCCTCCTGTGACCTCGAGATCTCTCTTCGAGGGGTCAAGCTGAGTCTGAGTGGAGGAGGGCCTGAGGTAGGGTGTGGGGGATGGGGGACCTGGGGAGGCTGGGGGAGGTAGGGTAAGATCAAGGGACAGGCCAGTGGGGATGTCCAGTGGGCAGGTGCAGGAGGGACCCTAGGCCGCCTGTCTGACTCACATGCTCTGTCCACCACTTATCTAGTTCCAACGCTGCAGCCACTTCTTCCAGATGAAGAACATCTCGTTCTGTGGCTGCCACCCCCGCAACAGCTGGTGAGAGCCTCCCCCTCCCCTAGAATCCCCATAAGCCCTGTGGCTGCCCGTTCCCCAACACCCTACCCCAAGAGTTTCTTCTGTACCTACTTGGCTCTGAGAGTGGACCAGCCATGTGGCACTGGCACAGAGCTGGCTGCAGATGTAAATCAGATGGGCTCCTTCCTGGTCTGGGTGAGGAGACAGATAGACAGGGAAGACTAGGAACCTTTTGGTGGTCTGGTGGTCATCTTGGTGGACTTTAGTGAGCAGACCCACAGAGGTAAGCCAGTTCTCCTGGGACTCAGAAAGGCAAGCCGCAAAAGACAAGCAGTTGCTTAGGGGTGAGGGAAGTGGGTCTCTCAGCAGGGAGCCACTGGGAAGATGAAGGGGTGTGGGGCACCAGGGGCTCTGAGGTTGGGTGTGAGGGAGCAGTGAGAGGTATCATGGAGCTTGCATTTCCTCTTGCTGGTTATGGCACCACAGAAGGGTCTTTACAGAAGAATGAGACACAGGGTGACAAGCTGGCTCTGGCCACAGGGCAGAATAGATTGACCCAGGTGCTGTCTGTAGGAGACCAGGTGGCTGCTGAGATTACCCAGTGCCATGTCAGGATAGGAAGTGTGCAGATGCAAGAGGCAATTAAGAGGTGGGACCTGATTGGTTGTAGAGACTGACTGACTGGAAGAGGTCGAGGTGAGATCCACCTGGGTACTGACTAGATAGTAAACCACACCCTGAGAGGAGATGTGGGGGTTAGTCATGGACATGGTGAGACTAAAGTGGCCATTGGTTACATGGGTCTGGGGTTTAGGAGAAAAACCCGGAGGAACGATATCAGTTTTGGGTAGGTAGGTAACCAAGACCATGAGGTAGATGAGATGGCCAGGCAGATGAGGCTCAGAGGAGAGAGAAGGGAGGAAGAGTTGCTGGTGCAGGAGTGCAGTGGTGGGCATGAGTGGCAGCCAGATGCAGGCTCCCTCCCAGCCACAGAGTCTTGCCTGCAGAGTCCTGGTGCCCTAAATGAAGGAGATAGGAGGAGGAACCAGACAGACAGACAAGCCAACCAGAGGCTCAGAGGGTCTAGAGAAGCTGGAGGGAGGTGGTGCTCTTGGGCAGACAGGATACAGGGTAGGCATGATGCTGCCAAGTTTCAGTCTGGGGCAGGTATGAAGGGCATCCTGGGGAATCATTTGGTGAAGAGAATGAGGAAGCCTCTACTGGTTGGAGAATGCTGGGCCATTTTGCACCTCCTCCATTGAAGAGGGAGATGGCTTGATGGGACCCACAGTTGAAAAGCTGCTCATCGGTAGAGAGCTAGGGCAGCGTGCCAGGGCTCAGAGGCCATGGATATAGGGGGCTGCAGACAGTGCTGCAGGAAGAGAAGAAGAGCTCTCTTTTTTTTGAGAGAGAGAGCCTCAAGATGTCCTCCTGGGTAGAATGCCGTGGCATCACAGCTCACAGCAACCTCCAACTCCTGGGCTCAAGCGAGTCTCTTGCCTCAGCCTCCCAAGTAGCTGGGACCACAGGCGCCCGCCACAACACCTGGCTATTTTTTGGTTGCAGCCGTCATTGTTTGGTGGCTCAGGCTGAATTCGAATCCACCACCTTAGGTGTATGTGGCTGGTGCTTTAGCCACTTGAGCCATAGGCGCCGAGCCTCTTTTTCTTATTCATGAGAGAAAGATGGTCAGACAAGTTGGTCTGGGGTTGGGAGGAGAAGGCTAAGGAGCTACTGTCTCTCTCTCATGGACCTCCAGCTATGACTGGGTCCAGCCTGAGCTTATGATAGCCTGTTTCCCTCTGCTGAGAAACAAGGATATTAGTGCTTCCTAACCTCTGTTCTTCCAGAACTCGCCCAGTCCTTCGCAGTGAGGAAGCACTAAGGAGACAGGGCAAAACAAATGGTTAGCTCAAGTTCAGGCATGGTGGCTCACACCTGTAATCACAGCACTCTGAGAGTCTGAAGCAGCAGGATCCTTTGAACTCAGGAGTTCAATATCATCCTGAGCAAGAGCAAGACCCCATCTCTACTAAAAATAGAAAAATTAGCCAGGTATGGTGGTGGGTGCCTGTAGTCTCAGCTGCTTGGGAGGCTGAGGCAGGAGGATCTCTTGAGCCCAGGCATTTGAGTTATGACAGCATGGCACTCTACCCAGGGCTACTGAGTGAGACTCTGTCTCAAAAAAAAAAAAAAATGGTTAGTTTATTTCAATGTGGAGTTGCAAGTCAGGTCAGGAATGCAGGGGAACCCATTTGCCCCTGGGTGCTGTGCTGCTGCAGCCTGGCTATGTGTCCTTGGGCAAGATACCAGCCCTCTCTGTGCTTAGCCTACCTTCTAGGGCTACTATGAGGTTTATGTGAGTTAATAATATAAAGTGTTTAAGGTGATGTCTTAGTAACACTTTGTAACATCTTACACTAGTGATTATTATTATAATTATTTGAACACAGCACTGAGATAGGTCTTGTGATATGTTTGTGGACCACATGAGCACATTGTCCTGGCAGTGACACTATGTCATGTGGCTTCCGATCTGTCAGGACCACAAAATTCCAAAGTCATGAGGAAAGGGATCGGATTGGCCCCAGTTTTGAGGGTAGGAGTGGCAGCAGAGGCTTGGAGTCTCATACTGTAGGACGCTGACTTCCTTTCCTTCTGGACAATACTTTTTACTAATATCTCAGAGAAGAAGATGGCAGGCAGGCATAAATGAGAGAGTTGGGGCAATGACTACATAAGTAGAGGGGTCAGGGTGGAGGTGCTTCTGCAGTGGAGCCAGTGAATCCAAGAGTGTTTAATGGATGGGGGTGTCAAGCCCTGTGTCAGTGCTGGGAAAGCAGCTGTGAGTTGGCAGGACCAAGGGTGGGGTTGGGTGGCCCCCATGAGGAGGCCTGAATAAGCCTGAGTCAGCAGGAGATATGTCCAGAGGATGGGGTAGAGACCTTGCTCTGTGGTCCTGGGGCAGGCTCTATATGGGCTACAGCAGGAGGCAGCACTGGCTCAGGGAAGGAAGATGCATTCATAGTAGATGTTCCAGCATGAAATTAACTTAGAACTTTAACTCCTTGTAGCTGCCCAGCACTGTGTTTGAGATGAGACCAAAAAAGACACTTTCAAATCTTAAAATCATGTGAACCCCCCCCCCCATTCCAGTGCCCTATGCTTCCCTCAAGCCCTTTGTTCTTGCCTTTTCCCTGCACATTACTTGGGGGCAGCCAGCAGCTGGGTCAGTGCTCTAATGCTCCCTCCACACTGCCATCCCCTACAGCTATTTTGGTTTCATTACCAAACACCCACTGCTGAGTCGCTTCGCCTGCCATGTCTTTGTCTCCCAGGAGTCCATGAGGCCTGTGGCACAGAGCGTGGGGTGAGCAGGGTCCTCAAGCAGGGCTGGGGTGGGAAGGCAGAACTGGAAGAGGGGTACAGAGATGGGTGGGGAGGTAATCAGGAAATCTGGGGAAGGAGAGCTGGGTATGCTGAGTAGAGAGGGTAGGAAGTGGTGGGGTAAAGATTTGGGGAGGAGCCTGGGAAAAAGATCCTGAGGATGGAGATGGTGCAGGGTCATGTGGGGGTGTGGGTGGAGGGCTGTGGCCAGAGTCTGGAAAACGACACTGTACTGTGAATATGACCTGGGCCAGGAGAGCTAAGGACCAAAGTTGGGGGTAACAGGTGAATTGGGGGTTGTAGAGAGGTGAGGAATTGAGGACTCACCTTGAGTGGCTGGTAGAGGACCCTCTCCCCGCAGCCGCGCCTTCCTGGAGTACTACCAGGAGCACCTGGCCTACGCCTGCCCCACAGAGGACATCTACCTGGAGTAGCCGCCTGCACTCTCTGTCTCCTGCCCCATATGCAGCCAGGACTGGGTGTGTGTGAAGAGGCCACTGTGGATTTGACAAAGACTGGATGGGGGCACAGGAGACCTTATGTTTATGGAAGTCTTTGGGCTGGGAACCCTCATCCTTGATCCCCAGGGCATGGCTATGGGGGCTGTGGGGGAAGAGCTCCCTGTGCCCCATTTCCTTCTGATTTCTTCTTTCTGTCCTCATCTGTTCCTCAGCCTTCCTTTCCTCTCTCTCCCCTTGTTTCTCTGCCCATCTCTGCCTGCAAACCTTACCCTTTGCCCTTTACTTTGGAGTCAGAACTTGGGGGGTATGCAGGAAGATGAGGCTCTAGGTGACGGTGATGTCAGGCTCCAAAATGATCCCCTCCTGCCCCTTCCCTATGATTTATAAAGGAATTTTAATTTTTATAGTGAATCTCAAGGGATTATCCCATCCTTGACTCCTTGACCACAGGAACAAAGAGAGGGGCCACCCACACCCCACTCCACATGGAGCTCTGGAGGAAGAAGGGAGGGGTTCCCAAAATAGCCTTAGGGAAGCAAGGGTGGGTTTTGATGCCCACCTGGAGCTCCCATTTGCTGCTAGGAGGGTGCCCCCTCCGGGGTCCATCACACTGTCATCTGCTTTGCCGCTGCTAACATACTCCCGCAGTCCAGAGTGTATCTGCCCCACCCATGCCCTGCGCTGTGTATGTGGACCTCGCCCATGGTCTCAATAAAACTCTGCTTGGTGTGATCTTGGCTGTTTCTAGGGGGATTGCCAAGACACAGGGCCACTTACCCAGGTGCTGCTCATGGCAATGGGATGGATACCCCAGGGTAATAATAGGGTCAGGGGTATCAAGAGACATCTCACCCCTTTAGTGTTTTCTGCAATCATGCTGAGGGTCCCTGCAGTCCCACATCTGGAGGCACTCTGGAGATTCTTCCCAAACACACTTGGCTGGCCGCAAAGGAAGCTGAGGCCAGCGAGAAGGAGCTGGGCATGAAATAGGTGTCCCTTCCATATTCACTGGGCTGGGAGCCTGCATGGCTCAGGTTGTGGGGAGGGAATTAATTCCTTGGAAAACAATCTACTTAGATCTTAAAATTGGTATTTAAAAAATTCTCAAAAATAAAAAATAAAAAATTCTCCACAGAATGAAGGAGAAAATAGGTGCCTATTCCAGTATGCCCTTAGATTGTAGGTCATCATCCCTCCCTCTGGGCCCAGGACTAGTACAGCACCAGGAAGACAGCAAGTGAAGGTTGTCTCATGAAAGCATGAGAGAAGGGAGTATAGACATATTTACTACATAAAATTTAAAAGTTACTGTCTATAAAATTCACACACTTCTCCAATGTTGACTGCCAACATACAGAGAAACAGATTCACAGTGTTAAGAATCCCTAAGTAATTCAGATCTTTAGCATATGAACATCACAAATTGATGTGAAGCCTGCTGATAGCCAGATCAATGTTACAGACCAGTCACATGATGGAGATGCAGCTTCCTAACCAGCATATAGGAATATTATGTTTGTTCAAGAAGACAAAAAGTATGAGAAAACTTTCTCACTGATTCAGATGAAGCTGTAAAAAGGCAGATAGCCCCTTTGAGTGTGTACATTTGAAATTTGTACAGCTCCCCCCAGCTAGGGGATATGGGTGTGGCCCCCAAGCGTGTATAGCTGCGCTGCAGAGACTATCACCCCCACACATCTGCTCCCTTTTCCTCTGAGGTGGGAATGCTCCATGCCCTCCCCTCACCGTGGTCCCGGAGCTCAGTCAGCCAGGCCTCTGTGCCAGGATTGGCCTCACCCTATCAGTTTGGCCCTACCATTGCCAGGCTTAGGCCTGCCTTCACATGGTTTAGCCCCTCCTCTTCTTGGCTTGGCCCCGCCTTTGCCAGACTTGGCCCGACGTCTACTGGGTTTGGCTCCTCCTCACAGCTTGGCTCTTCCACAAAATCTCCAAGGTTTTTGTAGGGTTGACACAGCTGTTGGAAATGCTGGTGCGTCCTTCACATGCCTGCCTTCCTTTCACCTCTCCAGCTGCTCCTCTGGTTTCATCGTCTCCTGGAGCTTAGTCGCCCTTTGGCCCCCCATCCCAGGCTTAGTCGGTACTGGGTTCTCCCTCACTTGGCGTCATCCTCCAATGGACTCAGTGGCCTCCGTGTGCTGAGACCACGAGGTCGCTGTGTGCGCTGTGCATTAACTTGCCAAACCCTGCTGACCTCCGGGGGTGCTCCACTATGGTGTCACTGGGCGGCTGACTCGTGGCTGTTAGTCACTTCGAACTCACAGGAGCCCTTGCCCTCCCACCCTATTCATCTTTGTTCTGTCACCAGAGCTACAGGCCCGGGTCACCTTTACCTTCGCCCATCACCCATAAGTATGCTCTTCGCTCCATTTTCCCCCACCCCTCCGCTCCTCGCTTGGGAAACCCTGAGGTTCCTCCTGGTTCTCTGTGCAAGAAACAGCCTCCTGGGTGGTGCCTGTGGCTCAAAGGAGTAAGGGCACTGGCCCCATATGCCGGAGGTGGTGGGTTCAAACCTAGCCCTAGCCAAAAACTGAAAAGAAAGAAAGAAACAGCCTCCTTTGCATTCCCTGCTCTCACCTGAGCCTGCCTCTGAGTCTCCACTGCACCTATGTGCAGATCAATCTTTTAAAAATGAAACCTTGGCAGATCACAACCTCTTTAAAGCTCTGGGGCAGGTCCCTGTGAACCTTAGCCTGACCTGTCCCAGCTTGGTTCACCGCATTTCTGACCTGGGAACCTCTGAGTTCTCTGTGGACACCTGCTGCCCGCCCCTCCTTGTCACTGGATGACCTCCTGTCCTCCTTCTGGGCATTTGGACACCTGGGCCTTGTGCTTTGTGAGGAGTCCCTCTTGCCTGCTCCCAACTATGATCCATTGAGCAGGGAGAACAGGGACTTGGCGGTGTCTCTGCCTGCCAGATCTGGGGCTGTGAAGGGGTCATAGCCCAAGGCCTCTATTGATGCCTTCAGGACCTGAACCTAAGTTCTGCAAATTTAGCCCATCTTAATAAAAAGCTCTCTACACAAAAGTATTTATTGCATTTTTGTTTAAAATAAGGAAAGCACAAAAGTAATCTAAATATTGACCAACAGACTTAACCAAATTAATGTGTATTTACCACATTGAAATACTAGGCAAATATAAAAGTGTGTTTACCAACATTTGTAAAAACACAGAAAATATTTGTTATGCTATTAAGAGATAATAAATATGTAGCATCATACATATTATGCTAGAGAATATGTGCAGAAAAATACTGAAAGGAAATACACAAAACCCTATAGTCATTTTTGCTGAATATGGGACTAAGGATATTTCTCTTCCTTTTTTCCTGCAGCAACTGTGTGTTAATTTTTTAAAGTATTATTTGAAACTTACTAGAGGCCTCCAAATGTAAAATTAAAAATAAAGAAGTAAAGATATATTTATCAAACCCAAAAAACTTATTTGGCTACAATAAAAATAACTGCCTAAAGGAATTGTTATAAGGCTTACATGAGTTTGCTAGGCAGACAGGCCCAGGGCAGTGCTCTGCTGAGTTACAATTTCTTTAAACACCATACAAATTAGAATTTATTTATTTTTAAAAATATTTACTTTTCATTATAAAGAGTAGTACATGTTGAAACAACCTAAATACCCACCAATCCAGGAATGGATAAACAAGCTGTGGTGTATATATACCATGGAATACTATTCAGCCATTAAAAAAGGAGACTTTACATCTTTTGTATTAACCTGGATGGAGGTGGAACACATTCTTAGTAAAGCATCACAAGAATGGTGAAGCAAGAATCCAATGTACTCGATTTTAATATGAAGGCAGTAGATGACATAATACATGGTAGGGGAAAGGGAAATGAGGGAGCAGGGGAAGAGAGGAAGAGATGGGACTTGGGGGGGTCACAATGTATGGCACATCTCTTGGGGTTGGGACACAATTATAAGAGGGAATTTACCTAACAAATGCAATCAGTGTAACCTAATTTTTTGTAACCTCAATGAATCCCAAACAATAAAAAAAAAGAGTAGTACATGTAATGATAGGAATTTTGGGGACTGCAGAAAATAGAAGAAAGGTTAAAATTATATTTTTACAACCCAAAGATGACTATTGCTAGTATCTTGGTGTATTTTTTTCAGTCTCTCTTCTGCATGTGAATTATATTTTATTTTGCTTGAAGCCAGAGGAAGTTTAGGTGAACCAAGAGAGAATTTAAGGCAAAAGATTAAAGCAAAGTAGCAAGGATCATTATAAGTACACATCAGAGGTTTTGCAGGTTTGGTTCTAGACCACCACACTAAAGGGACAATTACAAAAAGCAAGTCACATGATTTTTTT